ATCATCATCATCATCATCATCATCATCATCATCATCATCATCATCATCATCATCATCATCATCATCATCATCATCATCATCATCCATCCATTGTGCCCTGGTCATGGGATATTACAGTATATAATAATATATATACTGTCTTATTGAATTGCTGTCTAGCTGGAAGTCCGGGGGGAGAGCTTGACGTGCTTGGTTTCTTGACAGACCTGGTCCGTCTCTTCGTGGTCCTTGACGGACCTGATGGGTTCGTTTTGTGCGTGTTCGGTTCATGGAGAGCACTCCAGTAGCGGTTGTGGGGGGAGTCGGGGAGTCTTCCCAGCGGTTGTGGGGAGTCTTCCCAGTTTATGACCCCCACCAACGTTGGAGACCTCGACCTCGGTCAGTTGAGGACGGGTAGATTCTGGACGGACCCGGACTGACGACTGGGTCCCCTGGGTCCACCAAACCGACAAAGGTCGACCTCAAACACCTGAGTTCCTTTTGCTTGAGAGCGAGCTCTACCCAGTTGCACTGGGCAGGCGGTGTCATGCCATTGATTTGGAACCTACCCTGTGGGATCAAATGCCCCTCTCCCCTCGCCCTCATGCATTTTCTACATGTCATCTCATCTATACCTCTATGTTTTGAGACCTCAGTGTGCAGTATGCTTGATGCTTTCCGCCAATCAGATTCAATCATGGAGAAAACGATTCTGCTTAAATCTGCTCTGCCGGACGCATTGGATTAAGAGTGTACTTCCCTTATTTTCTCTTAGTCCGCCTATGTGAGCTTCTGTCAGCATCCTTTTTGTCGGGTGGCCGCGCCGCACTTCTTGCTGTTGTTGCTCTTGTTGCTCTTGTTGCTGGTGCTCTTGCTTTTGCTTTTGCTCTTGCTGCTGCTGCTGCTGACGATGCTGACGATGCTGGTGCCTGATGTTGTCAAGATTGCTATCTATGCTCACTCAAGTTACACTATATCATATCATACTTGTATGGTATAATTACAAATACCATCCATGACTGATGATATATGTGCAATATATAGGGTAGGACGAAGTGAGAAATGGCCGAGGTTTTAAGCGAACAAAGTGAGAAATTAGAGGGCGTGCGGGGGAGAGGTTTTGAGGCAACATGTTTAGGTGAGCCTCTGGTATTCATAGTTTTGTTTTTTTGTTTGGGTGAGCTCGTGATGGAAAAGATGCCATATGAATTTTTGTTGACACCACTTGCATCATAAGTTTGTTGGGGCCCCTTGCTTGACAAAAAAACAGGCTGATAGAAATTGCACAAGTTCGCTCGAAGTGGGACTGAAGTTTCCAGTGAGTGGAGAGGGGGTGACCCAACCTGGACCTCTACGTCGATGAGCAAGAGCAGGTACCTCCCTGTACCTCCTCCAAATGATTGGCCTGCAGAAAGAACGCGCGGGTACAACGTTAAGTTCAACTCAGGTTCGGTTTAATATTTTGCACATTCATATGTCTTCATCCCCACTAAGAAGAAAACGACATGGCGTTGCCCAGCTTGGGTCACCTTGGCTAGCCTTCGGCATGCGGAAGGTCTCCATCCCCAACTTCGAGATCTCTCACGTGGGGGCACCTGGGCTGCGCGAGCAGCGAGAGCAGGCCGTGACGCGAACATGGTGTAGTGACGTGACTCCAGGGACCTTGTTATACTCGGAGGTTATACTCGGAGATGTTAAGAAGTATTTTCGTGCAGATCTTGTTCATGCCCACCTGACCGTGCCCGACCAACAAATTGAGAGTATATGTGCTACGAATTATTGCAAGTGGGCTAACTCTTAATTTTGGCGGAGTGGCCGGTGGCAAGCATCCATTGGTCCAACATCGGCGCGAAGTAGCCTAGACATCGGCAGCGAGCTGCCGAGTGATGGGACAGATGCGGCATCATTGACAGATGCAAGCAGGGTTGGGGAAGAAACGAAACGGTGTGATGGCGAGCGATGCCGTGCTCAACTCACTCAACTGACCTTCAGTTCATGCACCATGCAGAGAATCAAAGGAAATACGCTGTTTGGGTAGAGTCGTTTCAGAGCAACCCGCGGGTGTATGTTTGTTTGTTTTTTAAGGGACGGTGTTTCGATGTCCCTGCATTGAGGCCTTGTCAAAGCTGGGCCTGTCCTTGAATGTGACGGGCGGCCAATGCCAAGGCCCTCCATTTCTGCGGGAGTTTTCGCCGTTGAACCTTCTGAACAAGGGACATTTGAGTTGAGATACCCTCTAGCAAATGAAGATAGGCAGAACACCATATAAAATCATCCAGGATCATTTGAGCTGCGACTATACATGGAGTAGATTGTGCTGGAATGTGCTGGATTGGTTTGGGTTGCCAATGGTAGAAACGACACACTCTCTGTCTAATGTTGCGCAGTTGGATTGGGGTCGAAGGCCTTAAGACTATAGATATATTAAACCTCCGAGAGGCAGTTAGCCTTATACTGTTTCCTAGTTCCAGAACCCAACATCAAGACCAAACACCATCCTCAAAAGTTTTGGCTAACCCAAATGTTAAATTTTGTTAAACAACCTCGGCGAACACCACGAATAAGACCATTACAAAACGGTTTGTCCGGTTTGCATTTCTCCTTCCACCCATGTTCCTGAACCCCTGGATCCCCCCGAGACCTGTGATGTCATTTGTGGACCGCTCGAGTGCGGGAGGCATAGAACTTCAGGAGTTTCGACTTGTAGAGACTTCTGCGGATGAGAAACACATGGCTTTCACTCTGCAGATGGACTGGGCGCGCGAAGACACGCGGAGCCGCGAAGAAACGCGGACCGCGAAGAAACGCGGAGCTGCATCGAGTCGATGTGTGGGTGGAACGCGCGGACCGGGCGCTTGTTCCTCAGGTGGCATGAGTGGGATGACCATGCCATGAACAGCACGAGGGGATGAGAGTTGATGATACGCAGAGGGATGGAGGCACCCACCCACCGATCCAGTCTCCAGTGTCAAGCAGGGACGACGTGCAAGACCATGCCAGCCTGGAAGATGATGTGCTCATTTTCGAGAAGTTTGCTTGTGAGTGTTGTTCCCTGGATGTCACCACCTGAGAAGCTCATGTGACATGTGGCAATAAAGTGAATCAACAAAACACGGGTTTGTATGGGACCATGGCGGGCAAACCGTTTTGCACAAGTGGTGTTCGGGATCCAATCGTGGGTCTCAGACGGAAGATTCATTTTTGGACAGCGTTGGAACAGCTGAAGGTCAGGAAGATGAACATGGAACCTGAAAGTTGACATATTTGGAAGACCATTTTTCCTCTACAACCCAGGGGCTTTCAGGTTGCATGTTGATCTTCCAGGGCGTAAAGAGTCAGTTTGAGTTTTGTCAGACGTAAAGGCTTTGAAGACAGGCCTTCATTGGATCCCTGCGACCCAGTACTGCGTCTTTGTTGCGCGACGCGGGACACCGACCGTTTTTTTATGTCCGGCTCCAAGTGGGTGTTGGTCGAGACATTGGATGAACCAGGAGAAGTGCGGAACAGGCTTTCAGGGCTCCCAACGGGGGATGTCCTGTTTTGATCACTTGTTTCCTGCATTTTGGAAGGCTTTAAGCAGCGCAGCCCATTTCCTGATTGCTCCATTTGGTTGATCGTTCAGTGCAGGATCTTGGCATCAGCTGCCAAGTCAACACCACTTTGCAGGCCTGGTGAGATGCTTGAGCTGCTGAATTGAATGTGTGGTAATGGCTGAACAGCGCCTCGCATCGATCTGCACCTTGCAGTCTGTCATCATGTTGTTTCATGAGTTCAGGTGATTCAGTGATTCTTATTGTTTGTCAAATTTTGACATCTAATACAATATGTGACATATTGCATATTTATGTTCATTCATGTTTTGTACATTTTTTTGGTGACATATTTTGTCCCTGGTTTTGACCCTGTGTCTCTCCCATCACAGGCTGCTGGACAGCACAGATGTGAATTGGAGCTTGGATCCGCTGCCGCGGTTGCTCGTGTTGGGCTTCAGGTCCGCTGTCGCAGGAAACGCGTCGTTCACCGTCGTTGTTGCTTTGTTCTTGTTGTTTTTCATTTTGTTTCACTAATTCCATCTAATTCCGCTTCACTTTCGTTCTATCCCGGACAGCCAGAACACAATGGACAATTCATTTCGTTTTGGATTCCTCGAACAGAAGTCCGTCACAGGCCCACCCGCTGACGTGTTGTCCCATTGTCACGCTGCTGTTTTTGTTCCTGGAGTGGAGTGGAAGGAACCGAAAACGGATTTGATCGGCCACATTATGCCACTTGGATGCGTAGACAAGGAGAGTTCCTGACGCAGAGT